GAAACGTTGACAGATGTGTTTACTGACAGTTAGTGCTAATCTCGCACAGAAATCGAGGTTTCGGCTTCACCACTGAAGCAGCAATCAGTCCTCCCACCACTCATTCATTTTGTAGTAAATTGGTACAGCCACCAGCATCAATTTTTTTGGAAAAGGGAACCCATCGATTGCCTGGTCAGTTATGAGTATCGGCTATTGGCATTTGTGCTATCACTACTTTACGTGTTCAGTTCGCACATCAGTGGGATGGAACGATTCCATGTGTTGCAAAAGGAAGAAGCAGCGAGTAACAAGGAAGCAAAGTTGGAGGCTAAATCCCCTTCGCCTTGTTTCCTAACCCATAAGGGTTCCTACTTTTACTTCTCTTACCTCGCCGTTTTCGCAGAGCGTGCGGATCATAACAAATTCACATGACACACTGTTTTTTGAACATCTCTGCAACACCACTATCTTCTTTACCTTATTTTATTTCCCTCCCCCTTCCAATCGAATTAAATGATCACCGGATTTTGAATCGACGCCCTCTTATGGACGGCCTTTTCAGAGTCATCCAGTACCGGTGCAGCCGTTACGGGTTCCTAACCCATAAGGGTTCCTACTTTTACTTCTCTGGCCCCGCCGTTTTCGCTGAAATCGAGCGGATTACAACAAATTATTGGTGCTTCGAGCATTATAATCATCTGGCCCCAAACGTAATCTCTTTTATAGGTCACCAGGAAAGGTGAGAGAGAGCGAGAAAGAACCACTTTTGAGATGTATTTGTTTCAGGTTTTTGAAACGATAACCGGTGGACTTGTGTATGGACTGTTGACAGAACCTTCGAATGCTCATAAGGTTGTATTGGTTTATGGTTGAAAATAATTTGCCGATTATTTGTCAAAAGTTGCATAACTGTACAGGAATGGAGGATTTAGCGTAGCTATTACTCGACACACGGCTCGCATCGCAGCAAAATCAGGAGAGTTCCAATATCAGTAGTATAGGCGCTGACATTCCAGTAACTTTGGTAGATCTACACAATCGCAAACATCTGAGAAAAGCCAGTAGAAATTTCGAATTTGCACGCTTAGTAAAGTAACAGTTAACGATTCACTGGAGCACGACCATACATGTAGTTTGTAACGGCTTTTTTGGTTGTTATGAAGAACAGAAGTTGCTGTAACAGCAGGTTACGATGTGAAGATTTGGGAGACACTGAAAAATGAGGAATAGAAGGATGTCACTTGAATGTCATGTGTATGAAGACATTTTATAGCGCAGTCCCTATGTTTCATCCCTTAGCTGTATACACGTAGATCGAACTGTGCATGCGGGTAGGAGTAGAAATCATCAATACAGCCTCTAACAGTGAAAAAGGAGGAATTCCATTCCCGCCCCCGCCTGATCTTCGTGAAAAGACATGGGGATAAATCAGGTGGGCTCGGCATTAGCGCAGCCGGACTGGTTAAAATTTTTGTTAAAAACATCATGGCTTTACGATTATAATTACTTTATGTGCTACTGAAATGAGATTCACTGCGCATGTTTTCATCTTTTTACGTGACAATACTGTTACGAGAAAGTGTGAGAAGAAATAATAAAACGAGAACAGTCCAATTGGCACAGACAAAATTTCCTAGGGGAATTTTTCCTTTTTACGCTGATTTCAATACTGTTTAAAATCACCAAAAATAAAAAAGCAACATTGCATTTTTTTATACATCAACTTCACTCACTCTTTCTCTTTGTTACCCACTTAACTTGCATTATTGCTTTACCTATCCCATTCTAGTAAAACAATTTAAATTTTATTCAAATTCTTACTGATTTTGCCACAATCGTCATACTGACGAGATCTAATTGTGGTAATGGTGAGAATTGTATACGACCCTTAATGGACCGAAATATTTCTTACCATTAAAAATATTTTCAACATTTTATCAGTTCTTTTTTTAACATTAAAATATTTTATCTTATTAACAGTCACTGTGGGTTTCCCATGTTAGTGATGTTACTACTTGTATTGCTCCCGCTTGTTGAGCGCAGCTATACCAGGCCCTTTATGAATGCCTACTGTCTGATTAGCATCGGAATGCTGCCCTTTTTTGCAGGCGGACCAAGCAGTTATTTTTTTTTTACGGGTACCATGCACTAACACGTATCGTTGCTTACTTGAAATAAATATCCAGTTTTTTGCAGTATTTTTCGATTATGTCTTTGCTGGCACGTGATAGTTGGTTTTGCGCTCTGTGCAACATGAATATGATATTGTTCGAGCTCTATCCAAGGCTAAAATCGGAGGTACGCGAACAGATTGTGTATTTCTTTCGTGAAGCAATCAAATCAAACGTTCCAAAGATAGACAATGTTCTGATCAATTATCTCAGGAATGCTAATGATGGTATCATTTAATCTTTTTTTTTTTGGTTTTTTTTTTCGTTGTTAGTGTTGGAAAGAGTAGCATTACTGCTGGCAAAGTACAGTGACATAATAATAAATGAAGTAAAATGGGGGTTGGAAGGAAGTATACTGGCAAGGGCACGTCATGTGTCTACTTTGAACAGCTGTTGTTTCATCCTCATTTCACAGCTTTTCTGGTTCAACTTTGCCTCTTGTGACAATCAGGCATTATATGCTAATTACAACCAGCATGCTGATGATCCTTTGAAAAAAGTATATTTTCAGGGAATGATTTGAAAGAAACATGCTCATTATTAAATGCCGTGGCTGTGATGTTGAATGATAATCATGCGTGGCTCAATGAACTGAAACCAAAAGCTTCGCTCATTCCGGTCACTCTGCTCACTTTTACAAGGTTAAACAAAACTTGATGGCTCTTTCTTGGATACGTAGTAGTTAGGAGGCTGCACTGATGATTCCCATCCCTAACCACACCTTCAGTTGTCTGTGTTTACAGCTAAGGGATGAAATAGAGACAAATATTCCTCCTAGATATTCTCTGCACATGAGATATGAGTATGTCACACATTTTTTATAAAACAAGTTTCAAAATACTATCTCCCAATCTTCACCACTCGCACTAGCTTATTCCACATGGAATATATTAAACTTGAATCTTCCTATTCCATTCTATGTATTACTGGTATTCCATATCATACATTAGGTTTCCATCTGTGCAGCTGGCAATTCCTCCATCGACCTCCATGTTGCTCCTTCGATCAGTGTGATGCAAATTTCTAGTAATCGGTCTGTTGACGATCCTGACATTCGTTTCGTCTGCTGAAGAGGCCGAAGAATTTTTGTGGTTTTTCTGACCGGAGCAGTTGACAGAGCTCTAAACGTGTCGAGATTTTTTTTTGAATTTTGCCAATATTCTCTCTCTGTCTCTTCCTCCCCCTCCGCCCTCCGAAACGTTGCCACCGTTACATCACCATGGGTTGTTTTTACCAATTCATCTTTAACATTTGAATTTTTTTTATTTGAAAAACTAACTTACGACAATTGAAATTTTAAAGAAATATATTGCGTTTTGCAGGTTTATTTGCGATTTAAGCCCCTACAATACTTTCGAGCAGTTACGTTCTCAGATGATTTTGGTATGCCAATGGCTGCTCACCGAACGATTTTTGGACTGTGCACAGCTGGGACGAGATTTAGTGCTATCCTTGATGAGGGTTTCGAAAATACCTGCATTTGTGGCGATCTGGAAGCAGCTTCTTTATACACCTAATAAATTAGGGCTTGCCGTAGGAGGTTAATCTATTCAAAGCCTCATTTTGAACTATTTTTTGTCGTCGATGCCAAGACAGTACATTTTTCTTTTGCGCTCTAGGGGCATTACATGGAGAGATTGTTAATTCACAGTCTGGTTCATCAGCGTGTAGTTCTGTCAGCGATTCTGACATCAGTTTGCCTTCTGAAAGAATTTCTAGCTCTGTGTGGTTTTCCCCGATCTGTACGATTAAGCTTTAGCGAGCTCGAATTGTCCTTATTGTTTTCTTGGACATTAGCATCCGGGCGTTATTATTTTTATACTCCGATGGGGAAAGGTGTTCAGGCATATTTAGAAGTAAATTTAAATTGCTTGCAAAAGGATAACAGTTAGTTTTTGATGCTTGTGAAATAAGCATTCAGGGGCACCACCAGCATGTTTATAAGTGAGCAACCCTCGAAAGAAGGAACGATTAAGCATCCGGGCGTTATCATTTTATAGCCTTGGCCACTACTGCTTAATATCTTTTTTCTTTGGCTACAGCTGAATGTCTCCAACAGAAAAGCATGAAGTATTGGGGGCCGGGAGAGGGTGGAGGGGGGGAGGGGAAGAGAATGAGACTGATTTTTAATTTTTGACTGATTTTTGATTTTTACTTGTATACGTATCTGTTGAATTTAGTGGAAGAACTGATGAGTCGACCCTGTCCACATACATTTCCACTTTTTCGTATGTCGGTAGCGATACAGCGAAAATTGGAATTCATGTTCACGAAGGTGAAGCCCGGCCTACACGAGCGACATTTGGAATGGTTCAAAAAACAGGTGAGAACAACTAATTCAAGCTGTGGTTTTTGGCTGTGAAATGTTTCACGGTCTTCGCTGTTCAATAGTTTGAGAGCGTTAGCGGTGCGGTTCGTCAGCAGGTTTCAATCTTCGGCTGGAGACTTTTACTAACCAAAAGGCACATCTTATGTGAATTAAGCAAAATGTGCTTCGATCT